CGTGGAGGAGCAGCGGCTCTACTCTGAGTCCCTCCTGGATGACTGAACCTCTCAGCCTATCTCTAAGGGACAGAAGTTTTCTATTTCAACTGGGTGCTGTCCAGATGTTTGGAAGTCTGCTCTGGTTACTCCTATATTACTGGGGATCCAACTTCTTTAAAGAATTATCAACCAATAAGTATTCTTCCAACTATTTTAAAAATTACAGAAAAATGAGTCACTGAACAAACTGTTAATCACTTAGATCATAGCTCCTCTCTCCACACATGCAGTTTGGCTTTGGCCAAACATTCACCTGAGACTGCTACATGCTGGTTTATGGAGAAAATAAAGCATCTGTAGATTAGGGTGGTGTTGTAGGAGCAGTATTTTTAGACCTTCAGAAAGCATTTGATACAGTAAATCATTCAGTTCTTCTTGCTAAGCTCTCATGTTTTAATTTTTCTGGTACTGCAAAGAAATGGATTGAATCATGTTCAAACAACCGTTCTGTGTGTTTTAATGGATAGTTACAAATCTGAACCACTTATACTGTCCACAGGTGTTCCACAAGGTTCAGTTATTGGTCCTCTTTTATTTAGTCTTTATATAAATGATCTGCCTTCTGTTTTGCCCCCTGAAGTTAAATGTATCATGTATGCAGATGATACTGTTTTATTTGTTCATGGTCAATCTAAAACAGGGGTGCCCAACCTTTTTTGACTTGCCATAACAGAACCAAGAGCTACTTTTGAAGTCGGCAGCTTGCAGAGATCTACTCGTCCAGTCTCAGTATCAAAAAACATATTTTTTCGTCTCCCTACCCCTCACTTCTTTAAAGTAAATAAAACAGAAATTAATGTGTTGCTAGTTTTATTTAATTAAAAGTATTGTCAAACAAAACTATCTACTTAACCATATATTTACCTACAAAACAAAAAAAAAGAAAAGATAAAATCCTTACTCCTGACAGAGAAACAGAAATGTGACGCTTGAACAAAAAGGATAATTTTTTTTACCTCCTTCAGTTAGTACTCACTGTAACATGTGAGCTATGAGGGCTGAAAACCTGCACACTGAGAACCACAGATTTAAATAACTTTGGAGCAGGGGAACTCATCTCTATTTATTCAAAAAACTCTCCTCTCTTCTCTCCATACAGGGGAGGAAAAACAAAACATAAAACTAAAGTCAAAACACACAATATAAAACTCTCTTGTTTATACTATTACACAAAGTGACTTACGATGGTGCAGATTCACAAATCTCCAACAACTATTTCAAACCTCATTCTGCAGCATGCAGGATGGTGTCATCTGTAGGTGCTGAAGAGCTCAGTCCCTCACTGGTCCAGACTGCYGGCTCCAGACCATTYAAAGAGTTCCACCTGGTTCACCACCTATAAACAAGACGCACACACAGCCACGCTAGGTACGGAAAACAAGGGCACACCMAAACTGCAAAATAAATCAATAAATAACACAAAGGTGCCAGTCAGTGTATAAGACACTAGTTTGGTCTAAAATGTAATAAAAACAACACACATACACATTGTGACAAGTCTAGAGGAGACAACTTTTTATGCAAGCTAAATAAAAATAATGTATAAATAAATAATGTAAAAAATGTATGTCTACCTTAGTGGGACTTCTGACACTGAGGAGGCCAGGGTCTCATAGGTGGGCAGTATGAGGTGTCAGCAGGTCTCCAGATGATCACCAGTCTTTGTGGATCYGTTCTTGGACTTTATGATCTTCATGAGAGAAAGCTGACTCCAGAACTCTCCAGCCATGTGAATTGTTGCTCTGGATTTGATCCTAATGTTATTTTGCAGTCAGAACCTCATTTTCAACATAGGAGCAGTTCAGACTGAAACACGAATTTGGACACATCCATCCATCCTGGTGGACAACTGTACGTCTTTATAGCAGCCACAATCTCACTTTTATTTTTAAAATCACAGAAAAGCACATCTGCAGCATCAAACGCTTCTTTCATAACTTCGTCATCACTGAAAGACGTGTGTTGAGGCAGGTACGGGGCTGCATTAGCATAGCAGCCTTACCTTAGGAGGGGGAATCCACCTCGTAGCATCTGTCCATTGTTTTGAAAGAAATGCTGTTCCACGTTATCCTTTTYCAACAAGCCAAGGCAGCACTCGAATTACATATGAGTCCTCTTCCCACTCCAGGTGAAAATAATACATTTTTATTTGCTTGTTAGCTGTCTTTCGTTAATCATTTTTTTCCGCCTTGCTGCCATGTTTTAACACGACCCTAATCTTGAGAGACCATGTTCGGAGTGCTGTTTCACAGCACCCAAAACTAGCAAGACTGGAGCGYGTTCAAGACTGCAATGTTAAACAATGTTACAAGCTCCATGATCCATTGCTGCGTGAGCTACTGCTAACCAGCTAAAGACCTACTGGTAGATCCCGATCTACTGGTTGGCCTGGCCTGCTCTAAAACATTGTTGCAGCCAAACTCACAAAGGCAATGAATCATGTAACAATATGGCTACAAGAATGCTGTGTTTCTAAAACAGTCAGTATGTTTTTCAGTAAAACTAACAGAAGCTCCCAGGATTCAGATACATGTGTTGCAGGTGAAAAATTGCTGACCTTTAAGCAGTTTAAATATTTGGGTTTGATAATTGATTCAAACCTCTCATTCAAAGTTCATGTTGATAAGATTTATAAAATAGTCAAGTTGAATCTAATAAATTTTTGTTCAGTCAGGAATGGATTGTCACTGAGACAGCACAGACGGTTTTATATTCTGTGATTTTTAGACATTTAACTTGTTGTAGAACTAGCTGGTCACAGGCCTCTGAAAGTACAATGAAATTAATTAAAACATTGTACAAACAAGTCATCAAGGCTATCATTACACTATCATTACTGTGAAATATTAAAAAAGTATTACTTTCTAAACTGGACTGAGCTTCATAAAGTTGATAATGCCTGATTTATCCCCAGCTCCTGTCAGAGTTTCTCAGTCAGAGAAACAGCAGTGACCGTGTGACGAGAGGTTCTGTTGGAGGACACCGTGTTGTCCCTGTGAGGAGAAGCACCTTTGCTCAGTCAGTTTGCTCTGTGAGAGCTGCTCGGGAATGGAACTCACAACCAGATGAAATTATAGATATCAATCTATAGGTCTTTCAC